GCGGGCCGGCGGGCGCGCGGCCACCACCGGACCGCCCGCCCGACGGCAAGGTAGGACGGAACGCAAGACGACGACGGCACGCACCCCGCGCCGGGACCCACGAGATACAGTCACCGACCTGTCCGCTGCCGCGCCGAGGGGGCCACGAACCCCCGGCGCAGGCCGGGCGGGGCGGCCCACCGGGCGCAGCATTTCTTATATTCAGCGCTCAAGCCACCCACCCACGAACGTACTGAGTGACGAAGTTCAAGGCAGCTTAAACAAGGGGCGAGATTCTGAAACAGGCAGTACCTTCACTAAGTCTCGTGCTTCCGGGGTTGGAGGTGTTGTTTTTTCGGCCACATGCCCACGGCGTGCTTCAGTCACTCCGCACGCCCCAGCAATGATAAACGAAAAAACGCAGCGCAAAACAAGGAGACGGCACGCGTAGACGGGTCTTGCGCTTTCTCAAGCCCTTAAAATTTGTAATTTTACCAGCGCCGATTAAGCTAATTATTTTCGTGTGGCCGGCATTGCCAGCCCCAGAGGCGGCGGACGAGACTTACGAACGCGCCCCCGCGCATTAGGTATCTACAGCTCAAGAGTTTGCGTGTGGTAATTGCTGAATGGCCCGGAGGCGGGCCCCATAGCTAATCCGTTACCGCCGGTTTTTATGTGCTAGAACCCGCATGTGTCTTGCTCGGCCCGCCAGAGACCAAGCCGGCAGTGCTGGCGTCCTTCCACCCAAGCGTAAACCTGTGCCGTACTTCCCGTCAGGCCCGCAATGTAGCGATGTCTCATCAAAAAGCGTAATCGAGTGAAAGTTAACCGGCGAGACTCAGCATTGTCAATTGTCGACGAGTACACGCGACTAATGATTGCGACACACACCAAAGGCTCAACCCCGTGCATTGGCATTATGGCGTAAAGGCCGGCCCCCTCGCCTTACTCCAGCCAATGAAGTATGTGGAACCACTCAACGCTGGATGATGGGGTAGATGAATTCAGCAATAAATAGCTGTATATTTTAGCCCCAGCTTTAAAATCCAGCCAAGCTCCCAGCCTAGACAAAAAAGTAGTTTTATTGCACTATCCGCTGACCTCAAAAACTGCTCTGCGTCGGCTCTCCTCTTCTCCGTTGTAATAAGCCTTTCCATAGCACCCGCGGACGGTAAGCTCGAGGGGAAGCGCAGGCAATTAGTCCTGGACGCCATCTTCCTTGCCACTTCCTCCTGTCCAAAAGAAGTAAGTTGGTTGTGTTTGACACTCATACTGGTGACTGTCTGCGCGCACGGCCTGGCTATGCGTGTTGATGTTGATGGGTCATGAACAATTCCACGTACTCATGGGATACCGGTCGCCGCGGGCACCTTCTCCTTTTTCGTTCCCGCTCTTGCTAGATTCCTGGTAATGAAAGGGGATTCACCGGAGCAGTCGCAAACAAAGAAAGATCACTTCGCCAAGTACACCAACGCTAAGTAACCTCGATCGGTGCGCCACGGCACCACCGATGCACGGATCCGCGGGCGCAACGGGTCGGATGGGCCGATGCCCGCCGAGCGGATGCGCGGGGCCGGGCCCGCACGCGGATGGTGCCACTATCAAGCACACACGCCCCCATATGTTTTCTGCTCACACAACACCAGCAAGCGCTCCCGGACGTTGTCAAGCGACACCCGACGCAGCAATAGATCATGCCCAGTCCACAAAACCCCTACCAACACCCGTCTCACACGCACACAACAAACAAACTCATCTACACACGCAACAAGAAACCCCGGCCAAAACACAGTGTCATAAACACACAACACAGATATCATTTATGTTTACCCTAGCGATTAAAAACTCCATGATTTACCCTTCCGACTCTAGACAATAGACAAAACCATCGCTGCGGCCAACAACCAACATAACACATTAAGATTTCGGACACACATATCAGCACAGAGACAGGCTGAACCACTCTGTAAACATAACCTCAATGAAGACGGCTAATGAAAAGACTTCAGCATCGACGTTTACAGCACCTGTCTCTCCTTGTTACGGGAACCCCGCCCGCACCACTCGGCCAGCCCTCGACACTCGTAAACAAGGTCAGTTAGGAGAATGCTACCCACGGGCGACCGCCACGCCCTCACTGACTTTTACTTTCGCGCGCCCGTCCACAGTGGAGCACGCCCCTTAAAGCAAACCTGATGTAAAAGGACTCTTCACTTTGGTAAAAATTTGGGCTCAACTCCCGGCTTGAATTGCCGGTACAATGAGGCTTCCAAACTGGGAACTTCGCGTTACGGCCCCCCTCTGGAGCAGACCAGCTCCCGCCCGACGACCCAGCCTGTCATCCGAAGGCAATATTGAATCCAGTATCGTGCTGCCAGCACGCGCCAGCGGTGCCTGAGCCTCGGCAGCCTTGGAGCCCACACGAGCATGTCAGCTGCCGACACATCATACCCACTGACGCCAGAAAATTCCTGGCATCAATGTGATCACCCACCGCCTGACCCTCCAAACACGACACGCAAAACAAAGAAAAAAAACAAAACAAACAAAACAAAAGAAAAAAAAAGAAAAAAAAAAACAAACAAACAAACACACACACACCACACCACACACACAAAAAGAACCAAACACACACCACACACCACACACACCAACCACCACACACACTCCACAAACAAACAACACAACACACACCACCACCAACACACACACAACAAAAACAAAAACACAAAAACAACCAAACACAACACAAAAAAAAAACAACACAACCAAGAAAACACACACCGCACACAGACATCCGGACTACACCAACTCCACTGCTCACACACATAGACACAACAAAATACAGACAGAGAGACAAAGAGATCATCGGCGCGAGAGATAGCGCGCTCATCAGGCTTTTCCGCCACATGATCCCTTCCCACTCTAATCCAGCCTTCGGTTTAGACCTGCCCCGTGTCAGTGGCTTCAGGAATAACCTCGCCTTGATGCCACGCTAAATCATCGCGGGCAGCGGACCGGATCGTGCCTGTCCCTGAGCTCAAGGTACGATCCTATTTGCGATTAACACTCCAGGTTCGCCCGGCACCCGCAGCCGATCATTGCGAGCACTGCCGCGCGGCTTGACCAGACGAGCTGTGGATGTAAAGGTGAAGGAAGCAAATGACACGCCACCACTAGATGTGCTTATTAGCTAAGACGAGGTATTTAACTACCGAACTAACTATCCTAAGCCTTTTTTTTCTAAAAACCATGCCTTGCATTGTCTACAGTCAGTTTCCTTGTCAAACCGAAACCCATGCCATGTTTCGCCTGTTATATAATATCAATTTCCACACTACTCTAATTTCCATCAGGCCACAACAAAAAGCCACCTATCGCAGAGATACTAAGGGCTCACATACACGATTATAATTGCATTATCGACTTCAACTCTGCTGTTTATATTTATTTGATTAATCGATCCCGATTGTTTTTTTCTGAAAAAAAAAAATCAATGATAATCGTTTTAAAATTGGCATTTGTTTTATTGGCGCCACACAAAATATAAATATCGGTTTTAATCCGGTTTCAAAATAGTGGCTGATTAAATGTTCTAAGTTGAATCCAACTAATCCATTGCAACGATGAATGGTTTCAGGCTCTGTTCAACGCTATGCTGCATCTGAGTTTCTAATTTCTGACCAGAAACTACTGATTCTTCCCCCTGATTAAGTTATTCCCCCAATGGCTTTTCTGATTTTGCAGTTTTTCTGCATCGCTGCCATCAGGGCAAACTCAAGACATCCTGCCCAGATGTTTCAACTTAAAAGCCTCCCTTTTCAGTTTTTTAAGTTGAAACATCTGCTTTAAAGGTTTTAAGTTTCATTAACAGTAACGTTAACAAAGCAAACTCAGATGAGCATAATTACAATTCAATTCACATTCAATTTTATTTGTATAAGCGCCAAATTCATAACAGAATTATCTCAGGAGCAGCTTTTTCAAATAGAGCAGCAGTCCTTTGTTGTGCTGATGAAATTAAGAGTGTGGAAATGAATTTATAACAGGGAAACATGGAGTGTTGACAAGGAAACTTAGACATGAAGGCATGTTTCTAAAAAAAAAGTTAGATAGTTAGTTCGTAGTTAAATACCTCTAGTAATAAGTACATCTAGTGGTTGCTGTCATTTGTTCTTCACTTACATCCACAGTCCGTCTGTCAGAGTGCAACTATGCTGCGGTGCCAACCTATTTAATCCAAATAGGATCTACCTTGACCAGACAGCACAGTTCGAGAAGGTGGATCAAGGCGAGGTTATCCTGAGCCACTGACACGGGGTCAGTCTAAACCGAAGGCTGGATTAGAGGGAAGGGAAGTGGGGAAAAGATAGCGGCTATCTCGGCCGATGACCTCACCTCGATGACACGACAGGGAGTTGTGATTCAGCCTGGTAGTGTGAGGGTCAAGGGTTGTGATCACATGATGCAGGAATTTCTGGGTCACTGGGTATGAGGTTTGACAGTGCTCCAGGCTGCCAGCAGTGACTCTCTGAACATACTGTATTAATATTGCTTCGGTACAGTGTGTACTGTCTGCTCCAAATAGAATTTCCTCAGTTGAACTCATTTAAATTCAAGCCAGATGAGCAAATTTTACCAAAAGAAGAGTCTTTTAATCAGGTTTGTTTAAACTGCCTCCACTGAATAAAATCAGTGACTGTAGCATTTCCTAACTGACTTTTTACAGTCGTGCTGTGCCAGGGGTTAGTAAAGAGAGACAGGTGTTAAATCGATGCTGAAGTTCAAGCGCTCATAGGAGTTACAGAGGTTCAGCCTTCTCTGTGATTTCCCTGAAACAATTAGTGCCTCAGGATTTCAGGCAGATCGGAATGAAACAGGAGAATTTAGGGAAACAAAAGAAAGTTTTTTAGACATCTGGAGATGAGACGGTGAGTGTTGGTGACTGGATGAACACTGGGTGTGACACTCCGGGGGCAGCAGAAACATATTGTATAGTGGCACCATCATCAGTTACTTACTTGGAAGTGATTTTCTTTGTTTGACTGTCGGGAATCCCCTTTATTACAGGACATCTATCAAGAAAAGAAAAAGGAAAGAACTATCCATGAATACGTGGGAAGTTGTTCATGAGCATCAACATCAACACCTAGCCAGGCCTGCAGCGCAGACAGTACAGTATGAGTTCAAACACACACCAAGTCTTTTGGACAGGAGAGTGCAGAGAATGGGTCAGACTAATTGCTGCGCTCCCCTGACTACCTGCTTAACATTACAGACGGAGAGAGAGAGAGCAGCAACAGAGGTCAGATAGTGATAAAACTACTTTTTGTTAGCTAGTGGTGGATTTTAAAGCTGGGGCTAAAAATATACATATTTACTTGCTGAATCTACCCATCATCCAGCGTGATGTTCACATATCTTCATTGCTGAGAAACGCAAATGCAATGCAGTTAGGCTTTGTTTAATCATTAGTCGCTGTACTCTGACAATGACATCTGAGTTCCGTAATCATATTAGCTTTTTGATGAGACATCACTAATTCCTGACGGAGACGGCCACAGTTACCTTGGTGAAGGACACACTGCGTTGGCTCTCTCAGACATCTCTAGCAATAAAAGCTAACCGCATACATGGCCATTAGCAATTACACAAACTTTAGTTAATACCTAATGCGGGTCAGTCTCGTCGCGCCTTGGGTAATGCGCACACGAAAATGAATTACTTAATGGCTGAAAATTACAAATTTTAAGGTTGAGAAAGCAGCAAGAGCCCGTATCGCTGCGTCTTTGTTTTGGCTGCGTTTTTTTTTTATCATTGCTGGCTGGAACAAGCAGCATGTGCGAAAAACAACACCTCCAACAAGCACGAGATTATAATATGCTGTTTCCAGAATTCTTGTTTTGAAGTCCTTGAACTCGTCACTCAGTAGTTGCAAGTGAAATCAATCTGCAGCGACATGTGACGGTGACTAAATGGTTATTTTCGGGGTAGTTCTGTTACTCTTAGCAATACTGCCCACGGGGCTGCTGGGATCATGACCTCTGGACATACCAGCCACGTCACTTTAGGAGATAAAAAGGCTCTATCTGTCTGACACTGCTGTGGAGCTGCAGAAAATACACTATCTGTTTGCCTTTGTGCAAACTGTGAAGCAACAACAAGTCACTACTACACTACTGGCTATTGACTTTTCTTGTTGTTGTTGTTTTTTTAGCTGAGCGAGCAGCAAATGTGCAGATTCTTCCTGTTTGTCCACTAGCTCAAAAAAAAATCAGCTGACTTCTTAACAGTTAAGAATCACAAGGCGGGGATTTATAGAAAAGAGACAGACAGGAGAGTTGTTTCAGCACATTTCCCCTCCACACTGTATCCAGTCGGGGTTGTGCTACATGAGTGTGTGTTACGTCTTTGTATTAGGCTGAGATTTCAGAGATCTCATACTGTACCGTGTTTTTTGGTGGGTTCACCTGGGAACAAGAGTGCCCAAGGCACGCTCCTTTGGGAAGCCTACGGCAAAGAACACATGCATGTACAGCCATGGGGGTACATCACCATGTACAACAATGGCTAACACGCACACACACATACATACACACATTCAACACGCGTGAAGGCATAACTACACAAGCATGCATACACTAACATAAGCATATGACCTGCAGACGCCCACACACACACAACAACAGCCTCTGGTGGCGGCACTGTCACATCACACAGTTGTATGTACTATCATTTTTCTCTATTGTCTTTAAAGCTGTACAGTAACCTTTGACCCCAGTTACATGAGTCATCGCTGCGATAAAGGCAGACAAGTCTAACATTCTTACAGGTTTAGCTAAAAGACAATCAGTGTAGGATTTTTACATTTCTGCTGTTATTGTGTGCTGTATGGCAGCACTAATCTTCATTTAAAGCATTAATAATGACAGTCTAATAACTACACACTACTGAGGGAAAACCAGTTTTATCAGATACGACAATACATCCTTGTGTAGGGTTTGGCTTACTTGTACCTCTCTGCTTGCACAGTAATACACCAGCATTTAGCGGTTTGTCAAAGAGAAATGATGTGAGATGTGGCTCCCACCTGCAGGATGGCCCCGTACAGACGCAGCAGGATGCTCCTCGGCTCGTCCCCAACAGTGTCCAGGCTGTCAGGGAGGTTGCACAGGAAGAGCTTGTTGCTCAGACCACCCCTGGAGGACAGATGGTCAGACAGCCAGTGGACAGGATTCATTATTACTTGTTGGGACTGTCATGTGGTTTATGTCACTCTCATATTTTTCTCATTTCCTCATAATATTTAGCTGCAGGTTTCCGGTCCCTGATGTTTTTCTTTACTGGATACGGCTTCAAAAAGGTTTAGGAATCTTACTCTTGTATCTCCCTTTATTATACTATTTAACACAGTAGAGCGCACTTAGTCGAATGCTGAACTTCACCTTATACAACTAGTTTTCTAAGAATCCACCAGGCCTGAACGAAAATAACCAATCAGAGCCAAGCAAGATAGTTGATAGAGTCTCATTCCTAGGACGTCGAACACAGATGCTGGGAATGAGACTCAACAATCAGCTGTACTCAAACCACCAACCCAAAGTGTATTTCCATCTTTCACTGCTCTGATTGGTTGTTTTCGTTCAGGCCCGGTGGATTCTTGTAAATTCATTAGGGGCACTAGGAGGAGCCAGAGGAACCTGATTGTTTCACAGATTATCTGTCTCATGTTCTACTGTCAGGATATAGTGAACGCTTCAGCAAATATGACAAATAAATTTATAAATATCAGCTATTGCAGCTTTCATTTGAAAACAAGCCTATTCGGATTAATAACAACCTAAATAAAGTAGCATTTAAATAATTGCTGAAGCAAACACATTTGGCATCCCAGTGTCCCAAAAGACAACATTTAAAGGGCGTCCAGAACAGAAAGACTCAAATGTCTCCCTGAATTGGAAAACACATTATTATTTGAAGTGAAGTCAGCAGGTGCTGATAGTTGGCACACTGACAGTTAATGATGGCCTGACAATGACGACCCTCCATATTTTTCCTATGGTGACATCATCTTAAGAACAATACTGCGGAAATAATTATTTTTTTTACCGGTTTTTATCATGAGACTGGCAGTGTAATAGCAGCCTTATTCCACTAGCTTCAACCCAACTGGGCCTTTTTTTCATCAAACAAGCAAATGAACACACCGTACCTTATGATGGTGATGTGGAAATCCTCCTCAGACAGGCTTTTCCAGGCTCCATGGAGGAACTCTCGGCACCACAGATAAGCTTTGCGCCGGGTATCGAGGTCGGGCTGGTCGGGGCGGACCAGCTCCTTAAAGTCCTCCTCGGTGTTGGGCTGGACCTGCAGGGCGTTCTCGGTCACCAGCAGACCCAGCGACATGGAGGGGGAAGAAGAAACCCCGTTGATAAATTTGGTCTTCATTTTGGGTTTTTTAAAGAAAGAAAGAAATGAAACCTAAATATTCTGTGCTCAACGGCCCTCTGAGCGGATGTGTATCCTCTGGTTTGTGACGCAGGAGGATTTATTTCGGTTTTTGGTTGCAAATGGTTTTTCTCTCGGTAAATTTATGAAGGACAGAGAGTTGTAGTTTGTTTCTTTATTATTCGTTGGTAAAATGCGAAGCGTCGTTTCAGCTTTGAGGTGAAGTCAGGCAGCAGGGGCAGGTACCGAGCGAGGTCCGTTCACTGGCAAGGAATGAATAAAATATGAGGGACGCGCCGATTTACAGGCAGGGCGGAGTCACATGATACGTCCGCGCCCCTTCCCTTCGCTCATTGGTTGGAGCGGACACATCTCCGCAGGACCAAAACAAACCCGAAGGTGCCTTCACGGACTGTCGGACATACAGTCGAAAGCTGATTTCACAAAATGCTATCCATAGGGAAAGAAACTAAAATATATTACATATATTACATATTAGGCTACATACACATACATTTATTTTATACATGTATAAATGTCTTTTATATATCTTTGTTGCACGTCATATAAGGCATAATATTTTTAATAAATGAGTCCTGATTTTAAAGGAAGATGGATTTAAGATGGATACCGTCGTGTAGGGTGTAAATTTACAGTGATTAGGACAGGTGCTACAACACAGATGGTTACACTGTAAAAAAACATATGTGTGAAACTGTAAAACCTTGACAGTAAAAGACCGTAAACTCTAAATAGGTTAAAGTTTCTGGCAAAACCTTTATTTATATAGCATTTCAAAGGAATCTATACTAAATAAAGTATAGTTTTTTTTATATTACAGACTGTAAATTGCACAGAAACCCATGTCATAGCATTAATATGTATTTATATGCTAAAATATGGATTAAAACTCAACAATATCCTTTTACCATAATAGTAGAAAAAGTTCTACTGTATTTATTACAGTAAAGTTCTGGCAACCACAGCAGCCAGTTTATTACCGTAAAAATAAATTCCCTGGTTTGTTCTTTTTACAGTGTAGTTATACTGCAAGCTAGTCACACTGAGCATGTAGCATGGAGTAAAGTGGGTGTGTTGTGTAGTCTGTGAGACTGCAGGTATGCCCTTCTTGCCTTTTCTGGCCAAAAGTGGACCACACCAGTGGTTTTCAAACTGGGGTCCGGTTTGTGTCAGTTTAGGGGTCCTTGATGTGAGAAAAGTTTGAAAACGACTGGACTGGATGAAAAAACAACACAAACAAGACCAACCTCCATTGCTGAGGTTATGTGACTTCCTGTCAACTGTGGAGACCCAATCCCAGTGTCCACACTCACAGTCCCTTGTGGAGATCCAAGATGTCTGCTCTACGTCAACCATTGTCTGCATCCAGGTCCCTCTCACCTACAGCATTAGCCCAGACATATCTTGTAGTTTTTACATCAGTAAAAATTAGTGATAAATGAGGCACAGCATGGAAGCTGTACCACCAAGTATTAACAGCAATATTTTATATGTATTTCTGCCAACCAATAGCGTTTAAATGTATCTGGTAGAGTTTCCATTGTAGCCTAAACAATCGCAAATGCTTTTGTTGACATTCAACCTATTTAAACATATTGTGCCAAACCTTACTGTCATACGTCATGTTAAGAATATTGTGAAGCTTGATGGCACATGATTGCCAATTGTTAACCCTCTCTGCGGTTCTGTACCATGTCAGTAAACGCCTCACAGAATGTATGCCGTCATGTGAGTCCAGGTGTATGTGCTGGTAGAACAAAAGACTAGTCAAAACATTGTTACACAACAGGTCTGGGTGGAGCGTGTTCACAACTAGAAAAACTAAATGTTGGAATTTGCAAGGAGCAACATGTCAGTGGTGCCACAAAGTCTGTCCTTTACTCATAAAAACCCGGCACCAGAACCGCCACTGTACATATTTTAGGGGGGATTTTTAAACCCTCACAAAAAGGGCCCCTCTTACTATCTCTGGCCGTAAAAAGAAAGGTACCGTGTAGAAACAAACTGCAGGAAGGGAGACATAGCTTTCCTGACTGATGGACTCATAAGTCATGTGCAGGGTTGGTTAGTAACTGATTACATGTTACCAGGACCAAATCAATAATTCATTTTAACTGTTTTTATTTGGGTTTTCAATAACAGAAAACAACAATAAAAGAAAAAACAGAAAAACAGATACATAGTGGCATGACCTTCACGTATTTCCATACATTGATCGAATAACCAAAACATACTCCAAGATATTGACTGAGCACAAACAATAAGTTTTAATTATTATTAATTATTTGGATAAGAAACAAAACTTTTTAAGTGTTTTAATGTAATAAGTTACGTAAACTGAATCTATAATTTGTAATCAAATTACAAAAAATGAAACCCAGATTACATTTTAACAATGTGGAATTAGATTATTGTTACACTGTCAAGGATTAATTGATTACACACCATGTTTCTACAGAAGCCCAGAGGGGACAAATCACACACTGGCTCTAGAAAGGGGTGTTTGCGGCCATACACAGCAGATCGAATGATACGCTGCAGTCTGCCCTTGTCCTTGGCAGTGGCAGCAGCGTACCAGATGGTGATGGATGAGGTGAGGATGGACTCGATGATTGGATGTGTAGAGTGCACCATCATCGTCTTGTTGGCAGGTTGAACTTCCTCAGCTGCCGCAGGAAAGTACATCCTCTTGCTGGGCTTTCTTTGGTGAGGGAGCTGATGTTTAGCTTCACTTGAGGTCCTGGGTGATGATGGTACCCAGGAAGTGGAAGGACTCCACAGAGTCAACTGGGGAGTCAACACAGGATGATGGGGCGGGTGGGTTGGGTTCTGGTGAATTTGTATTTTCAGTAACTGACTAAAATTCCAAAGTAACTCCACCGCAAACCTGGTCATGGGACATACTAAACCTGTAGTCAGTAGGCAGTAAAAGAGAGAACATAAAATGTGCATCCATCAGTTTAGCCTACATTTTGCGTTTTTTTTTTTTAAGTCGGATTCTTAAAATGACTTCGACATCACACCCTTCAGAACAAGCTTTCAAAGACAATATATTATATAATAATACTAATGTTTCTCTGAGGTGATATTCTGACAACCTATGCATCTGCATTCATGCACCCTGAGCATTAGTCACCAGGTACTACTTTTCCTCTTCCTGGAAATGTGGTCTGTTTGAAACTGAACAGGTTCCTCAAAGGCATGCCTACAGGCAGACTTGTGTCAGCAGTGTTAGAGGATGCCAGAGGAGGCTGCAACTTCAGGTAGTCAACCTGCATCCACCAACGCCCCCTGCGTTTTTGTATGTTACGAGTGCCATCTACCTGGTGGAAAATAGGATTGTAATTAGCATTAAAACAACACGGAGCAAATTCATTGTTCATAATGTGCATATCAATAAATGAAAAATGTTAAAATGATAAATTACAATGCGTGAAACAGCTAATAACAGGTCTCCTCCAAACTAATGCAACCAACAGAGGATCTTCTTGATCACATTCATTTAAATACATGTACATACACTATTATGAACATACAATAAGTAAAAAATATAACAATAAACAAAAAGTTTTTTAATCAATAACAACATACCACTTTCTATATACAAGTCAGTCTGGTTCTGTTTCTGCCCAAGAATACAATGTTGTAAAGAAGCTGGAATAAATAATGATTTCTGTTACAGGTTACTTTATATACGTACATGGTAGGTGGATATGACAGTGTATGTTATACATTATATACAGGCGTATATATTTGATAATATCTATGTTAAAAAACATTGTGCGATTAAACTATAAAATATATACATTTACCCACATAGCAAAACTGCTCTGGCCCAGTGACGGCGCCACAGCACACTTCACTCTGCCCAGATTACGAAATGAATTACGATCAGGTAGCTACATGTGACCCATGACATAACAATAATCTCAGCTGACTGTTGAGCATAGCTGGCCTGTTCTGGCTTTTGTTGAACCAGACAGGTTTCAGTACTGGTTCCAGATTTAAGCTTTAACTAACTAAACTAAAGACGTTTACATTAATACCACTTTTTCCATATTTGGTCCAGATGAAATGCCTCAAATAACTTCCTCTTTTCATATCTTCCTCGACTCAATCCTGTCAGCACTCGGCGTGTTAAATGGTAAAATGGTAAATGGAACGCTGTACTTTGTATAGCGCTTTCCTAGTCTTCTGACAACTCAAAGCGCTTTTACACTAGTGTCACATTCACCAATTCACACACATTCACTGAGTGATGGCAAAGTCCTCGAACAGAAACTAACTCATACATCACATTCACACACAATGCGTGTGCATCGGAGCAATTTGGGGTTCAGTACTTGCTCAAGGATACTTCACACGTGGCAGGGAGGAAGCGGGGATCGAACCCAAGTGTGTAGTAATGTGTAGAAGTAATGACAGTAATTTAGCCAGTAAACACTGGGCTGAACACTGGAGAAACATGCGGTGGTGCAACGTAGGGTCAGAACAGCCGGCCAGTTACCAATTTGGGTTATTACATATTTGACAATATGTGACTGATGTTAACTCCAGTGGTAGCTCAACCTTAAACCATCTACAAGCAGTAAAATGGCATCATACACATTAATGTAGCAGTAATATTAACCCCAAACATCATATCTAAAAATTTAGTAAACACTTGATACTCAGTAAAATGTAGTTTGATAATACTTTTGACCTTAAATGAGTTTCTCCAATGCCAGGGACTCTTTACTTGTAGCGGAAAGTATTTTCCATAGTGGTAGTATTCAACTGTTCATTTCAAAGGAAATTGTATACAGGTGTGTCCGGTTAGGTCTCATGTTGTTAGAGCTGGTGACCCACTGTATAACAGAGTTTGCTTTGCAGCGGGTTCATAAACGTTGCTGGTCTTTTGCTCGGGTGTCCATCCCACGCTTATTCCTGTCTTTTCTACAGCGTCATATCCAATAGGCCACGCAACTACAATAAGTTTAAAAAAACAAAAATAAAAAAAAGGAGTCTGAATACTTTTTTCCACCCAGTGGTTTAACCCTGTTCAATCCTAAGTATTAATATCGGTGGAAATAGTCAACTGTTCTTCGTTGTTTTCAAAACAACTACATACCAATACTGTTGCTATTGTCGACGTCTGTATCCAATACACATCCACACGCGTTTAACTGGTGTGCCCATTGTCAAGTCCAATAGCCCATTTTCTTATTAATTTTATCCCACTTTGTGGTTTAAATCTATCTACATGAACATAGATTTCAGGTAAGAAAATGTTGAGATTTACCTGTTCCAGTCATGACCTTACAATACCGTTCAAAAAACAGGGAAAATAGAGTGAAAGAAGTTAACTTTTGGGTCTCCCACCGGCTTCCAGCAAGACTTTCAAATGCTCGCCTACCTTCCACTGTTGCGTTTGTCAAATAGCGGTCATCTCCTGTTCCCAGGTCTACTGTTCCCCGCTAAGGCTTAAGGCTTAGCCGTTAGGGTTAAGGGTTTCCCCGGTCCCATACACAAAAGCGGGGAAATACGGACCCGGGACACATCAGGACACGCTCCCGTGAAATATCCTACATTTTTACAGAGGGGGTAGTATGCTCAGGGTGTGGAAGACGGATTTGGCGCCACCCATGTGAATTTTTTTTTTTAAATTCCAAGTTTCCGAAGTGAGAATTTTTTCCTTGAATTTTCCTTTTTGTTAAAATCAGGACTCTTGGACCTTTTCACCATATCGGAGCCCTAAACAGGAACTGAGGTGACCAAATGTGGGTTTAACACCATCGTTACACATTTCTGCCTGGCAAAAAAAAAAAAAATAATCAATTATATATATAAGGTGAATTTGTCTGAAAGAATTTCATCCTGTGAAGTCCAAGTGTCGCGTTTATTCAGTGTCATCGGTAAGTTTTATTAAAAATTTGACCCCATTTTGAATTGCAATTAGAACAAAGTGCAGGATACTTTGTGTGATGATATAATGCATTATACAGATTTTTTTTAACCTTTTGTTTTCATGCATACAGACTCGGTATACATACATTAATGAACATACAGATAGATAGATAAATAAATACATACATTATTAGATTATTTCTTTCTTTAAAAACAAATGTAAATTTAAGGGATTTGAGCAACCAGGCCCATTAGACGTATGACTTCATATAGTTCATTAATAGAAGGGTTATTCTGAGACAAAATCTTTATGGATGATAAAAAGATTTTAAATTTAATCTGAAAGCAAATTAGAGAGGGTTTACTGGCCCAGCCATTCTCCTCAACGTCTTCTTTTCAAACATTAAGCTCCGCCCGACGGCGCAACGCCGCCGTGCAAAACGTGCAGCCGAACGCATTTTGATGACGCCATCACCAACGAGCCACAACAAAAACAACAACATAGCTCAGCTGTTCGGCAGCTAGCCGGCCTAGTTACTGAATACTGTTCTTTACAGTTTTTAACATTTGGGCCTTGTAGGAACTAATACTCTCGGATATAACGCTAGTTCTGTGAAATACAACAATGCGTAGCAATAAGGTTTAATTTCAAACTCCTTTGTCTCCTCTCTGCTAGCTTCTAGCAGGTTAGCTTAGAAAGTGAGGACGGGGAGGGAGCCTGTTCCACCAAAAGGTAACCACACCACACACATGATCCCCTCTACAGCCCGTGAGGGGAGAAGTCTTTGGGTGTGTCCCTGTCGTTTTGGCAGAAGCTGGGAGATAACTAACAGCAAAGGAGAGCAAAATAACGGCGCTGCCAGAGGACCCGAGTCATGTTACAGACCGAAGTGTCCCTGAAGCGAACTGATTCAATACGGCGATCAAAGTGAGCACAGTGATCACATGACGTTGTTTTAAACAGGCTAGAGGTGCTAACGCTACAACTCTTGAGGAAAGCTTGTTTACCTTCCCTGTTCATTATAAATAACGACGACAAGTTTGGACGTAAGACTTAAAAGCTGCAGTAGGGAAGCTTTATCAAAATCACTTTTTTTGTCATATTCACTGAAACTTTCCCTATATCCTGACAGGAGAACATGAGACAGATACTCTGTGGAACAATCAGGTTCCTCTGGCTCCTCCTAGTGCTCCTAATGGGATTTGTAAGAATCCACGGGGCCCGGAGGAAAAGAACCAGTCAGAGCCGAGAAAGATATAAAGACCCTTTGAGTTGGAAGCTTGTGTCATCAGTGTTTGTATATAATGTGATTCTGTTGGTTTGTTCTGTGCTCGACATCTATTGCATGTCCTGGGAGAGGAATCCCTCCCCTGCAGCTCTTCCTGAGCTTTCTTCCAGTTTTTCCCTTCATCCAGTTTCCCCTTAGCCAAATTGAGTCAGTCTAAGGACATTGGGTTTTGAATGTTGTAGAGATTGTTTAGCCCCCCCGAGGAAAATTGTGATGTTGGGCTATATAAATAAAGTTTGTCTTGACTAAAATTTGAAAAAAGAAAAAAAAAAAAAAAGATCTTAAATACATTTCTCTTTGTTTACTTTCTTTATCTTCAGTACATCACCAGGAGAGAGGTATTTATGGCAAAGCCAGACCACAAGACCACCCGGTGGAGATTCTGAACTCTGCCAATGACAACCAATATCATTTCCTCAACCGTCATCATGTCACCACGAAAAAAGCCCCTGGTCCCAGTAAGCAGCCGGCGGAAAACCGTGGACGACTACTTTCCTTTCAACTTCCTGCCGGTGGAGTGCCAGCTGCACGTGCTGTCCTTCCTGAACGAGGTGGATAAATGCAGCTGCGCTCTGGTCTGCTTGAGCTGGAGCTGCATCGTCCGCTCCTGGAAGCTGTGGCGGGTGGCGGACTATTCCCGCCGCGGCGTCTTTCACCTGGGTCAGGAGGGGCTGCTCGTTTCCAACCGCGAGTTCGAGAGGTGGAAATCCTGGGTGCACCATTACACCCACCACCTCATCTCCCGCAGGGCCAGCCTGCTCACGCTGAAGGCCAGCTTCGACCTGGGGGACCGCTGCAACAAGTGGGGCGAGCTGCTGAGTCACCTGCTGGATAACGTCCACTGCAGAGACCTCAGCCACCTGGACCTTAACTGGACCTTTACTCTTCTGGAGCCGCTGGACCTCAGGGTCCACTCCAGCTCCAGTTCGCACCAGGACAGCATTACCAAGATGGACCAGGTAACTCAGATGAAAACGGCACCAGGCAGATTCACACACACACACACAGTGCACACTCATGTTTATCACCCTGCTAATCCCAAACTGCGTACCCATTTCCATTTGTAAGAATTATCTTATCACCTCTTGTGTGAAGAAATGATGAGACCTGATACCAATACGGGCAAACCATTTCTTACATAAAACCAGCCTGCAGCGTGCAGCTTTTACCTGTTCCTCCTCCCCCTGTACTGCATACACACCCCCTTGTACACCCCCCTTGGCGGACATAAAAGCAATAAGTAATATTACGCACTGCTGAAACAAAATAGTCGAGTTGATCAACCAAAAATAATCAGTAGCAATTTTTGTAATGATTTAAGTCATTATCAGGCAAAGATGACAGATCTTCCCTTTTTTTCAGATGTGTTCTCTGTTGAGTAAACCATTAAATGGAAAGAATATTTGAAATATTTGAATATTGCTGCATACTGGAGTCCATAAACTGTATTGGAATTGCATACATTTGGACAGACTGGAAAGCTGAGACTTGCAATCTTGTGCCACCCCAGCCAGAAAAACTGTGGACACGCCCCTGAAGAAGCCTGTCTTTCTCTCATGTTCACTGTCAGCAAATATGTGAGAACACAGTTCACGTTAATGATAAAGTCTTTTCAGATCAATGCAACTCGGCTAATGTTACTGTTTTCCCCACTATTGCTACCGGTTGATTTTTAAATGCGTTATTTTGACAGGTGACCAGTTTCCAGGAGCTGCTGACCAAACTCACCCACAGCTGCCCGCGCATCTCCAAGATGCGGTTACACTTCGACTGGTCGGATGTCTCCGTGTCGCTGCTCACCCAGTTCCAGCAGCTCCGAGTCCTCGAGCTCAAATACTTCTGGGTCTTTAAAGGAGTGACCCCCTCGACTCTGCAGACCCTAACCAAATCCCTGCCTAACCTCAAGTCTCTGACTTTACACATCCTGGTCCCGCTGAGGAACCTGGGCATCTCGTACACTCTGGAGTCTCAAGCCCTGGAGTTCCTGGACGTGTCGCCCAGCCGGGGCTTGGTCTTTTCCTGCCTGAAGCTGCCCGCCCTGCGCGAGCTTCGAGCAAAAAAGATCGTCCGCGGCATCACACTGGACCGGAGGACCAGGCTGAGGATCCAGAGCCGGTGGCCCTGCCTGTACCACGTCCTCCGGGAGGGGACGCCAAAGCTCCAAGCCCTCAACAACGAGAGGCTACTCCCCACGTGGAGAGAGGAGAGCTATGGGGAGCTGTCTGCCATCCTGGAACAGTCCTGTTACTGTGTTCAGCATCTGGACAGCTGGCTGTGGTAGCCAGATGTGTGACATTAGAGGAAGAACATTCCATAGCTGGTCATTGGTTGGTAGAAGGCAATATACTGCTTCTACACACACCATTTCTATCCCGATTTGAATGACTGTACTCACACATATTTGCACATATTTGCAGATAAAACTGAGACTTGAAGTGAAATCAAAGGACTGCATGTTGTTTGAACACTAAGTACAACTCTACCTGAGCCGAGTGTGCATGGCCCATGTGTGGAGAAAACAAGACTAGATGACAGTGTAATGGCCACTTAGAGTTGTGGAGAATGCCTTTTAAACTCAGCCTCTTCAAAGACAAAGCTGATGAGCACGAGGGCCGCTGTTAAAGAAAAAGAAGTTGTATTTTCAAGAAGACGTTGTCAAGAAGAAAGCCCTGAAACATTTTGTGAAAAAAAGTTGAAATGCTCTGAAAGAAGAAGAATGAGAAGGAGCTCTTGCATTTCAAGAATAAAGTCCTGAGTTTATTTTTAAAATATTTGCTATGTAATGAGAGAAGAATGAAAAGTCGTTATTTTAACAATTAGTCGTAATATTATGAGTCAGCCCGGTCAGAGTGTTAAAATATAGCGGAATATTTCAAATTTACTCTCAAAATATTACGCTTCTATTCTCAAAATACTTTATTCTCAGTATCAGAGCGCCAAGTATAATGCTTTCTCAATTGTAGAAAACTGACATGTACTGTATTGTAAATGTAACCATTGTTATCATTTTGGTTGAATTCAGTTGCATTTATCCTCAGAGACAGTCATCTACTGCTTCCATTTGAATGGCTGTAGAGAAAATGAGCCTTTTACTGGAAAACTGACCAAACGGCAGATGAGACCAGCTGTGCACACGTAGTATATTTGAAACTGAATTTAATCCGATCATATGCTCATGAAATACATTCATTAACTGTATTCTAAATAAAACATTTGAATGTTAGTAACACGACATAGATCAAATGATCTGTGGAAAGTAAAGACAGGACCAGTACAGGACCTAAAAGTGTCTCAAAATGGATGGGTGCTGACACTGAGTCAGCAGAATCAAGTCCTCTAGACCAGTGGTTCCCAACCTGGGGATCGCCAAATCTTCATGGGGTCGCGAGTCCATCTTGATTTTAAGTTGTGGTAGAAAGAATTACACACAGTAGGCCTATATCTCAGCATTTAGTTCACTTCTATGAAGAAAATGTAAAATAAATAAAAGTAAAAATATAAAAAGTTTAGTCTAAAGTCTAAAACAGGAAATAATCTGCTCAGAATTCATCCAAATCACTCCTTTTACACAAACTTCCTGCAGATACTGAGTTCACTGTTTGGGTTCATTGTACAGTTTAAATATAATATGAAATACCCATAAATTATGGCACTAAGTCAGTTTACTCAATGATAGAAAAAGGGGTCCCTTTAGGAAAGCGGTTGGGAACCACTGCTGTAGACAGTCTCATTTTGAGCCCCAGCCTGGTTCGGAATAGCCACTCTGACTTGGCTGCTGAATACTTGACACACTCAGACTGGCAGTATTAGGATGGTGTAATTCTAATCACAACCTGTCAGGAATGCAGCACAGCTGACGGAGAGTTCATTTCAGTGCTGGACCAGTTTGTACCCAACATTTTTTTTTTCTTGACTACTCCTTTTATTTTATTGTTAATGTGTATGAAGTCATTGTGTGTGTGATTCTCCTAAAGCGGACAATGTAAGGATTTTATGAGGTTTTAAAGCATTTAATCTGCCTGTCTTAATGTAGGAATTCCTCAACTTGTGATATTTGGAAACTTTTTGCACATTTCTATGGAAGCCTTAAGAGACAAGTAAGAAACATTCTGGTGATCCAATGAGTATTACAAAAATTCACTTAACAAGTTTTATTTACCTGTCAAAACCTTTTTCAAATGATCTGTTACTGGCAAATATTTCACAGATAAAACAAAAAAAAAAACCAAGAAACGTATTATTAAATTAAGAACTTTAGAAAATTAGGAAAGATTATCATTGCAAAACCTTTTTCACCTGTTCTTAAGGTATAAAGACAACAATTATAACTTAAAAAACAGACTTATAAAATGGATCATCAGAATGTTTTTGTTCTCACTTGCCCTCTCGGGGCTTCTGTATATTTCCATTGCTGTCATGGAAGGTTATTGCTGCTCCAATCACTGCAGCAAGCAAGTGACCAAATTCCAGCTGTTTCATACATGGGAAAAGTGTCAGTTTGTGATCACGGATTCCGTATGATTCCATGTATTTCTTATGTATGTGAAGTTTTCTTTGCATTTTCTTTCTACCATGAGCCTCAACTGTTTGTGCTCCTGACAGCTGAGGAATGAAATCAGTGCTTTTGCAGTTACTCTCCTAATCAGTAGAGGTCCCTATTGTCAAAGCTTTGGCCATCAGATCTCTCTCCCAAAGGTCTTACTACATCAACTTGTGTTTACATACGCACTAGTGTAACACCATTTCACTCCAGTACTTGTTACTAGTAGCAGATGTGTGATGGAGGGTATTTGTCCTCTTTGGAACATATCGATGTATGTTTGATGATACGAATGATATGATGATGAAACTTATGAGTGTAGAATATTTCACAGGATTCTTCATAAAGAATTGGACTCAATCTTAATTTGTTTGCCATTAGTATGTTTGTGTGTGTGTGTGTGTAAAGTTTAGCAGAGAAACATGAATAATTTAACAGATGTCTGCTTCGATCCCAGAACTTGCCTCCTGCTTTCTCCTTCCTGAAAGCAACACACACACACAGTGTGTGAGTAGAAGACCCTGATATTTAGACAGATGTTGCAACATCTGGGTGATGAACATTTTTTTCACTTAATAAAATGATTGAGCCTTTGTCAAACAACATTGTTTTAAGTAAGCACAAGGGAATTGTTTCTGGGGTTTTTATTGTGGGGAATTCACTATAAGGTTTTTTTCAAATGCACAAAACCAAAAAGTACTCTGACAACTGTCATAAACATCATTACGTCCCTAACAGCTCATTAATCTTTGTTCATGTATAATTCGAAGCAGGAATGTGGCCTCGCTCGGGCTCCCCTCCACCTGGCACGGGTCTCTCTGCGATGATGGTTTTCCTTCATTCTTACGCTACATAGTGTTTCAGTGTGGTTGGGTCGGTTTGATCTCCTTGACCCCGCAACAGGAACATCTGTTTTCAGTACAAATAACCACCTCCACACCCATTTAAGACCCCTCTTGTCCTACACTGTTCCTATTTGCCTATTTGTCTCCCTGCGTTCACTCTCCTGTGGCGAGGAATGTGTGTGTGTGGTCATGGTGGTCGTGGTTCCCTGAGGTTGGGGCTTTCCAGGCAATTCAGTGATTTCCAAAATCACTCTGCTCTCTTGCTCTTTTTTCCTCCCCTCTCTTATCCAGCCCACTGAACACTCCTCCCTTCATATGCTTCTCGTTTGTTGGGAGTTTGTCAATCGCACAGGATCTGTGTTGACATGCGTCTTTGGAAGCCCCCTGCATTGAGGTTTGGCAGTAGTTGGAGAAAGTGACGCTGCGACGTGGAACTCTGGACACCTTCACCTACGCTCAAAAGTGGATGTTGCTGCTGATGTTCTCCTCCTTAAGGATTTTCTTAACCAGCTTTTCTGTCCAGTGAGGCTTGTGTTTGTGATGGGCAGTGTGTGCTATGTTCACAGAAAGGGAATGTGAGCGGGAGTACGTCTGGGTGTGATGGGTTGGACAGTGCAGGGTAAGGATAAAGTGTTCCATGAGGTTTACCTAACCCTTGCATTAGTGGCAAGACCACAGTAACCACCTCCAGATGTTTGAGAGCACAATCTGATTATTTACAACAAGGCCAATGAACACCGCCCTTTTCACACTACAACGTTTACTCTTTGCTCCTTCGGCAGTGTCCAAGTTAATGCTTAATCCAATTGCAGACCCTTAATTGCTAGGGCTGAGCCCTGTTTATGGGAGGGAGGTTACTTTCTGATCAGTCACTGCAGAAGACAGGAATACAAGCTAAGGGACTCGTCAGACTCATCTCTACCAGTCAAGCAACGGGACCTTCAGGGCTGACCATAGGAACCAGCCACCATGGCCAAGTCGTCTTTCACATCCAAGGCCATCGCCTCTGCCTTTATGATCCTGACCGGCTCTGTCATTGCTGGCATTGTCACCATGGTCATTCTGTACAAGACTCAGATCTCTTCAATGAACCCGACGCCCCGTCCAACCTTCCCGTCCACCACCACAGGACCGCCACCCGTCATGCGGCTGCCGAAGAATCTCATACCCCAAACATACAAGGTCTTTCTGAAGCCTCACTTCTACACAAAAATCATCGAGGAGGTAAATGTCACCAGTCCCAACCAGACGATGCTCTTCACAGGGAACTCTACTGTTAACTTTCACTGCGCCCAGACGACTAGAAGCATCTACCTCAACAGCAAGGACCTGGCCGTTTCTGACGCAAAGGTGATAGACACAGAAAAGAATAATAAGATAATGGTTTCAGCAATGAAACACCACGAAGACGAAAGTAACTTTCTCGAGATTCAGCTTAAAGAGGCACTGGAGGCAGGGGGAAACTACAGTTTGTCTCTGTCTTTCAAGGGAGAAATATCAGAAAATCTTGAAGCTCTGTTTGTAAGCACATACCAACAAGGTGAACCAGAATTTGAAGGTGATACGAATACAGAGAGGTAAGTAACAAAAACCTAAACGTTTCTGTGTGTATAATTTGTGATTATAGCACCTTTCAAAGTATTCTGAGGGTATACATTTTTATTTGTAGAGAAAACGATCCTGGCAGGGTTTCCCCCAGAAAATCATTAAAAGACACCAAATTAGAACCTTTATTGCCCCTCGGTGGCTCTTCATGGCACACAGATGAAAAGGCTCAAGTCATTCCATAGATGAATCCACTTGTAGCGCTCTCTAGCAATGCTGCTAGTCAAATTCAGATGGAAACTGAAAGAACGTACGGTGTATTGACTCCAGTCAAAAATAATTATATTAATCATTCTCATCTGACATCCAGTTACTTTCATAATGCAATCAATTACGCATTACACATTACTTATTGATAAAGTAATTGTGTTTATTTAGTAATTACTCAACAAAAACAGTAATCAGTTACATTACTTGTCACATTACTTTCCTTAGGCTACAGCCCAACTTTGTCTAAGTGCCTGTGAGTAACTCCAAAGCCTCCAAACCCCCCAAACACATATTCTGTATGTATAAAAAGAAACACTGAGACATTTTGCGCTGTAAAAAAACAGTAAAGAAAAAAACTAATTACAACATTTATTTAACATTTGTGTAGTGGCACAGACTAATCATTAACATAGAAGACATCTTTTGACTTGGTCAGTTGGATTTCTGAGATAACACACAAACACATCTGCATTGGAGTCTGCTAAGTCTTGTACAAAAAACAAAATAAAAAACAATGCACATCAGATGTCTTTGTGGTCTTAAAAAAACACAGTGGGCTGTTGTTTGTAGAAGCTCATTTATCAGCTGGACTGTGTTCTAGATTAAAAAGGAGAAAAAGACAAATGTATTCAAAGGAATTGGACAGTTTCATGGTTTAGTCCATTGTCTTGTCTAATTACTGTAATTGATTCATTTCCATGCCCATGGGGTAAAAGAACCCAAACACAGTATGAAATTACTGAGTGGAGACATGTGCTTACACACATACTGTACAAGTGTGGGTCAACACACACACTGTTTGTCACACTATTTATACTCTGTTAGACCGACTTGAAGCAGGATAACCCTCCAGTCACCACTCATGTATTCTCCTTGCTGTTTTTACACATACATTTCAGTCAGAGACCAAAGCTGGTTCATGTTTTCTATTGTGTGTCCCAAATATGCAGTTTGCCATCTGGCTTCCTGTATGTGCTAAACACTTTGTGGACACAAAATCACCTGTTTCCACTAGTATTTGAAAAGACACAAAAGCACATTATTTATTTTATTTATACTCACCAAGTAATTTGTAATGGGTTCTTTATCATAGATATAAAATACAATGCTGCTGCTGTGCGTCTGGTCAAAATCTGCCCTTTAACAATACTGAGAGATGCAGACAAAATCGACTGTAACTTTCTTAATTCTGAACCAATTTTCATGAAATTTGGTTTGTTATAAATATGAGAACTTGAACCTGATGCTGGTTACTTGTAGGAATGAATTCAGAAGAGCTCTATGCAAAAACATTAACCTTCTCAATAACCACAACTCCCACTGGGACATGCAGGCCCAGTTATTTAGAGT